TAATGACCACAGTCGCATACCTTCCTGGTAATGGCAGTGGCCACCGGCTGGATTGGGCATCGAGGTTTATTGGACACCTTTGACGTTTGAACGTATGATCCAATGAACTGGATACCGGCCCACAATGAACTGCGTTTATCACAGACCGCCCTGCTGCCTTGAGGGTCAGGCTTTTACTAGTCAAACGCTTCCCAAGAAGAATCACCTCCTTTGTCTGGGCAACCTAGCAGTGAGGTACCCTCGAGCAAATCCAAACGGAGAAGTGTATGAATATATATATATATATATATGTATATATATATACGTGCACGTGTGTACGCCTCGCGACACACCCCGCCAGAATTTTCGGATTTTTCTCCGCCCCGTTATGCACGGTCATCACTATTTTAGAAAATCTAGACGATAATTAAATGAAAAGCCGTAGTATGAAATTATCCTTAATTTTAACGGAAATGTGTCGAAGAAATACAGAAGTTGCACCACGTCAAATGTATTGTAACCCCATGGATTTAACCCAATTATGATGTATGATGTTTGAAATCATGTCTACGTCGATCTTTTTCCACTACCTAATCAATACTGCCTCTGATTCGTGTTTTGTCGTGCAAACTCGGAAGTGTTGTTAAACTGTCCGGGTAGGAATCGCCCAGGTGTTTTCTATTGGGTTCAAATCTGGACTACACGCAAACGACACCATTGTTTTGATATCGTGAGATAATAACCAGCATTTTATTCGATGCGAGTTATGGACTACGGCAATATCACGCAAAAAATGGCTTCAGAGTGATCATTCAATGCAATTGCTGGCACAAGCTGCCGCTCCAATATACGAATATGTGCATCAGAATCTTGCACCCCACATAGCATTAGGAATTTGGTTGGGCCGTTGCTTCATAGGGCACCCCATTCCATCACGCAGTTTTGATCGTTAATCCGCTTACTGAAGTGCTGCTCTTTTCACGCCTCGAGTCCATCTAAATTAAATTTCTTTTCGTTGCTGGAGTAGACCAAATCCCATCCGTTTCTTCAAGTTACTTGAGTTTCAGTTCGCAATGAGCCTTTTTGTTTGAAACGTTGTTAGAGCTTTACGCCTTATCATTTTCTTGCATTCCCTCCTGGGGACCGCTTGAAGAGTTCGTTGTACCGTTCACACCAAAACGTTCAATTTAAGCACCATTTCATCTCTATTACATAACACTGCTCATTCCTTTCTCTGAAAGCATTTTCTAGTGTCCAATTTGTTTATCATCGATTTTTAGCTGTTTCGAATTTGAGTTATCGTGTCACAGTATGATCGGAATCTATTAAACGGTCTGGTTACCTCATGCCTGTTGGTATTGATCTCACGAAAGGAACCATTACAGGAGTTTTCGTTATCCGTAAGCCTCTTCCGTTGCACCATGGTTATCAATGTGATGCAGTGACCTACTTGAATGTCTTTGTTCTTTCAAGGTCATTGAGCATGGCGTGAGCATATCATCACTGTTACCTGGGTGTCACATGACCGTAGCCTACACCAGTGACTCGCCTAGGATGCCAGCTATCGCACCGAGCCACCTTGGGCTGCCTATCGCATCCGTTTCGAAACTAAGTTGGGTGTGCGAAGTTCATGGAAGATGTATTAGTTTTGCCACGTTGGAAACCCTGTTTTTACGGCATATTTTCGTTAAAATTAAGGATAATTTGATGAAATTTCACATTACGGCTCTTCATTCGATTGTAGTCTGGCTTCTCAAAATGGCCATGGTCGTATCTATGAGAGCGGAGATAATCAAAAAAATCTATAGGGATGCAACACCTTAGTCGTGGGGTATATTTTCGGAGAATGTATCAACCATTGCGCCCTCTTGACGTTAGTGGCACATCTGGGGTGTGCAATCCGATTGTACTGTATGTGTGAAGCAGATTCCTCTCGCAAGTTCTAATCATGAAACAACTCATCAACTGTGGCTCATACCTTGAGGGTTCGGCTGGGAAAGAATGTGCAATCGTTCGCTAACGGCCTAGCTTTCTCTGTAATCTATCAGACGTTGAAACCCCATAAAGCAAGTGCTTCATTCCTACTTACGATGAAGTGTGTAAAACGGTAATATTTTCTCTTTGTATATGTAATGCGAACTCAAAAACACTGAAATGTTTCAGGTTTTATCAAATTCGGATTGAAGTTAAGTTGTTCGTTGTTAACTTTTGGTTAAAAATCGAGTTACATGAGTGTAGTTGGTATCCAAAATGCTCATTTAAACAAATGAAATTCATCGTGCAATGAGTGGAAAAGTGCCCATAATGCACGAAATCACGCAATATTGGATTTACAACAATTACTGAACACATTGTTGTTATCCTAAAAAATTACGTAATTATACGCTGCGCCGTTGGTTATCAAACTTTACATTACCTTGTTTGTGAGTCGTAGATCTTAATGCTAATGCACACATTGTTTTATACATATGCAACACCCTGGACAATTATTTCAGTTGTATATTCCACTGCTCGTTAGTACTCCCGGTACGTAGTCACACAAGCTGTATTATTTTCTTTATACCAATGGCTCTCTTCGCATCGATAAATCCATTGATTGAATTTCATGTATATCAAAATAGCGCATTATTGGTGGAAAGATGAAAGGGGCGACAATGAGGTTCGACTCCTTTCCACTGAATTCTTCTCAGTTTGTCCTTGCTACGTTATTTTCGCTACAACTAAAACCCAAGAGGTAGTATTGAATTGGATTTGTTGTATGAGTTTTCTTTCTTTTATTCTTCAACTTTCCGCTGGTTCATCTACCGCAGTAGACGACTTGGCATCTTCGTGGCTTGAATTATCATACGTTCAATTTCACTTCAAGACAAAATATTCCATCGTCAGGAACACGCACACTGACTGTTCTGGCGAAAAGAGAAATCACATGATTGTAAATCTCATAGAGACGCCAAACGAGGAGGAGGCGAGATCAGATCCGGTTCATCATCTGCATATTCCCACACAAGTAAAGCAGTTTTATTTACGTAGTAGTAGTCTGCGAGGTTATCATTACGGTGAATGTGGAGAAGACTTCTACGTTCTAGACCGACACCATGAAATTTGCACGGCCTTTGGATAGCATTGGTTTAGGATATATGATACCTGGCATTGAGGGTTCAACTTATGGTAATTGTCGATTTAGTCAGTGCAAACTTTGGGATTAATTTGGTTAGAGTTCTAATTAAAGTGAAATTGCCATAGCAAACAATAATGCTAACGTAACTGCGCCAATTGATATTTAAGCTACTACTTATCAGATACCAGTAGGAGTATGCTATACTAAAACTGATGTTTATTTCAATTTTCTCTGTGAATCGCTCCACGGTTTCACCGATAATTTGTATTCGAAGTGCATCGCAGTTAGAGTTTTGTTGAATTACCTTGAACGCAAAACATCAGAAATTCATCCGTTGCAATGAAATTTAAAATAAATAAACGAAGTCATTGGCAGAAGTGGCATAAAATATGTAAGGGAAAATTCCCAAGTTCCCGGGGTGTTGATTGGTTGAGAAAGGGTTTCACAGCAGGTGCACCAATGTCTGTACCATTGTATCCAGCGTGTGCTTCTTCTATTTGGGACCTCATCCAAGAAACGGAGTATTGAACCATAACCAGATTGAATGTTAATTCTTCAAAGAGACAAATCTGGATCCTTAGTTGTTAATCTCTCGCTGCCAGTCACGATCGACGCAAATAACTAGCTTACGGCGAACAAACCAAGCCTCAAAACCCTACAATAAAATCGTCCTTAGTCTTTTATTCGTTCTCTGATGGAATTTTTCATTCACAGATGGTCCCGTGAGAAGTTGGTACGACTATGTAGTAGTGCTTCGTCACACTCTAGTCTAGCTTGCTTCTGTTCTCTGCAGAATGAATTCTTTTCTAGCGTCAAGGTAAACCGCATTGCTTTCTGCTCATCTTCATCCGGTAACCACATGTTTTTCAGTACGGATGAATCAAAGCTACACCAAATGATCGACCATACCTCAGACAACCCATATGAAGTTGGCAACTGTCATGAACACCTGAGCTCAGTTTTATTTTATGTTTTACTCGGTCTTGTTCATTGTTTCTCTTTAAATTGTCTTTGACACAAATGACTGCCGGAGCTAGCTGAAAACCCTTATCGAAAGCCGACGGAATGAGGTGTTTTGAAACAGGCTAGCTTTCTCGATGAAAGCCGGGACATATAGACTTTTAAAATCTTTCTTGTGCACCTAAAATGTACGGTTTTTAATGAGTGGCAAGAAGTTGTTTTAACAGCTGTATGTACACTTGCCGAAGCTCATTGTGCGTGTAATCCAAACAAACTTTTCCATCCGGATTCCTATTCCCCACCGGTGTAATAGTGATATCGATGTACCTTTCATCACATTCGTGGTGCTCGTTTCATGCCAGTTGGCATTCGCGTAACAGTTTCAGTCTAATTTCTATTCAAACTAACTTTCACGTGTGTTAACCATCAAAATTTCGTCACACTTGCTCGTATCCGACCTGTTACCCATTCTACGGTTCGCTCTTATTTGTCGCGTCTGAATAACGTCCTTCCTTATTCACTGCGATATGCTCTTCATAATCTCGTATGATCGATAACAAAACTCATTCCTTTCAGGCTCACAGTGATTCACTGTGTGACTTATATCTTAAGTAGTTCCGTTGTGTTTCATCTAGAGGAAACTCAAGGGATTGTTGGATTTTCAGTAGATTATCAACTGCGAAACTGGGTCATCTGAGAGTTTTGTAACCGGAAGATGGTTATAATGCTAAAGGTTTTATTCCATTTTTTAATGACTCTGATTGAAGTTATCTCTAATTAATGTCAGTAGAATTCACATACCGACGTGATTTCTACATGTTTACATATATATTTGCATTTATATATTAACCAACTATTGCAATTATTTCATATGTTCAGTTCCTCGCCGTGATGAAATATTGCAATTATGTATCGTTTTTTATATATTTCTCTCCATTTTCAGCATGGGTGGTGCTGTTGCTGTCCACGTGGCTCACAAGCGTACAATCCCTTCTTTAGCTGGTCTGGTGGTCATTGATGTAGTGGAAGGTGAGTTCTTTGTCGTATTTCAGCCGCGTTAGTGGTGTGTTAAAACACGTTCTTTCTATCTCGTGATCACTGTAGTGGTCAAATTTATTTTATTGGGACTGGCCTTTTTTCATAGTTCATCTTCATGCTCAATCATCAGTTCGTTCACTCAGTTATGCGCTTGGCATGGTGGTCGAGCCAGAAAATATTTTATTGGTAAATGATTTTCGATGGGATTGGGGTAATTCAAGAAATAACTCTGTTCTCCATTTCGCCTGTTCGCCGAGCTTGGCAATTCGTTTGCAAACGTTTCATCACCAGCCGAAGTGATATCATCAGTGCTTGTGAAGTGGCCAAGCACAAGCACAAGCGAATGGTCCACTGAATTCCTGCCTCTGTGCAAGTAAAATTTGTGTGAGGTCAGAATTTTATGAAGTCCTTCCTAAAGCAGGCGTTTTCTCGTCTCTTGTTAAAATCGTCTAAATACTAAAAATCAGTTAGGTTCACGAACTTGCTTACCGCAGCAAGCTGTCTTTCATTCAAAGGTAATACACTGCAGCTTTGCGCTCACTGCGGTAAAACCACATGACCATTGTCTACTGAAGTTCTGGTAATACGACTATGTTGAAGCGACCATCTGTGCATTGCTTGCGTTATCGTAGCATTCCCCAGGTCGATCTGTCTGTTTTCGACGTCATTTAGCGCCGGAAGCTGTCCGGTTTGAACGAGTCAAGTATTTATCGGGGCTCAAAAGGTAGGTCAGTACAAACGAAGTAGCCAGGAGAGTGGAGAATTCGAAGATTGTTACGTGGATCTTTCTGGTTACACTATCAAGGGCCAAGTTATCGAAAGAAGATGGTACCGACGAATGCTGCAAGGCAGCGCTTCGCTTAGATTGAATTTTTGGAGCGTATGTGACAAAAAATGTTCTGTTCTGTCTCATGGAGACAAGAAAACCAATAAGATATGTCAATCTGCTATTGTAATCTACAAAACTAAAATGATGGTGTAGTAGACTATATATGAAAATTACCAGCGAGACTGCTCCCCGAAATCAGCTCCACCTCAGATCCCAACCAAACTCCACACGCCACCAACCCCCTATGATGCTTTCACCTAATGTGTTACCCGCAACATTTGCTCTGTCATCACCAAAACTGATCTCAGCACCGAACCTGAGGGATAGAAGTTTGACAGATCTAGTGCTGCATTCAGTTCGACCTACGAATAAGCGCTGTGACCAATAATTTTTACGAGAAATGTTGAGTAAAAGTGTTGCTTTTACCTGAACTTGTCTATTTTTCTAATATTTTAAATCCTTTATAAATTTAAATGGTCTTCCCGCATTCTGCACTTTTCTGTTAACTCTCTTTTCATGGCTACGGATTGGTCAATCCCGCAATTTCGCTTATTGCCACACATTTTCAGTGTGTATGCTCTGGGGCCGAAAGATTATATAAACAACCGAGTCAAGCCTGAACATTTGACTTGCTTCTGATGTCAAGTTCACTTCACATTATTCACCATGTGTTCGCGCTTGTGTAGCTGAGAGACGGTTATTAGTGCTAGTGAACCTGCAATCCTGTGATCATGCTTTAGGGCTGTACGCGTTATCGTGACTACCTAGATACTCGCTCCATTGCGTTCGGACCTATCTCGTATTTTTGTGTGCTCCCCCACCTTGTGATGTCACACAAGCCGTCTGTTAGCTTCCAATTTTTATTATCGTTCTATTGGTACTGTGCTTCAAATGTTTTCTTTTGTTGGTCCATACAGGATACACTTATGTGTTCGCCGAGATTGTGCTTGTACTTATATTGTGCATGCTTTTGATAAGTACTACTGTACTGCACAACACTTAGACCGTTCATTCCCGTCAAAATTTGTTCGGAATTAATGAAAAAAAACTATTTTCGCTAATAGAAAAGATAGTTTTCGTAATTTTATTTCGTTCTCAAAGATTTTCGTACTCACCGGATTTTCCTCTCAGATAACATTTTGGTTTCCTGATGATTGTCAACTGTCTATTTGTCAATGTTGTATTTCCAGCTGAACATGTGTTCCTTGTTTACGGCCATTCATAAGATGATACTTTTCACTTTTCTCATTAAGTCATCTATAACATAGACTCTAAGAAAAACGCGGCTGGTGTGTCCCACCTAGCATTTTCAATACTTCGTAATGTCGCAGTTTTTCCCCAATGATGTTGTATTCCATGCTCCGTCTTCCATCCGCTCACCCATCTTATTGTAATCAATTTCTTACACAGCAGAATATCTCAGATATCTTACAGTTCATTGGTGCTCTCGACCTCATAATCTGATCCGTGTTCTCACGTGGCTAAATGCATTCGGATCGTGTGAATGAGCTAAGTCAGTGCGTTCCCGACGTCATCGACTGACATCCTTTTCTGGCTTGAGGACGATCAGCGTTTTTGATTGCTTTCCTTTGAACGCAATCATCTCGAATGTTTTTGATGCTCGGAGAGACAGACAGAGAGAGAGCGAGATAACTGAATGAGGCGAATCTGACCGAATATGGATAAGCATTACGCTACCACAATTCTCAGAACTGTCTGTTGTGTGTGCATGTGTTCCTGATGTTAAGTCGAATTCATCTAAGATCAAGAGGCAATTCGTGAAACCGCTTCCGATTTCTAACATGCGCTTCTCATTCCAGCTGGAAAATGAGCTCCTCTTCACTGTGGATATAATCCTGATCATATTCACGTTTCCTCTCACTGTCACCATTCGAACAAAGGTTCATTACTATTACTATTGTCTGTCTATCCGTTTTTTTCCTGAGAGCATTCTCTCACTAACCGTCACAACTGTGCTTGCACGAGATTGGTAAGAACACTACATGAACTGAATCAATGCTCGTTAGAATTATCTCCAAATCACGCAGCTTATTGGAACGAGTCTTATCCAGAATCCCACACTGGATGGACAGTTTATTTGAACAAACTCACGATGCCTCCGCAGTTTTTTATTGCGCTCGGGAGTCACAACCAGTGCAAGCTACCTTCCCCTCTTAATAAACACGACATCATTTTCCAGGTGATAATCATTGCTGTTGTTTTTTGTTTCCACAGCAACTTAAACGTGATTCAATCAACATGTGACTAATGGAACAAAATTTTCCTACACAAGACAATTTTATTGTTGTTCAACTATTCGATTTTGTCTTGTGATTGTTCACTTCTCCGCAAAACAATGTCTCTATAAGACGTGACACTCGGTATGACACGAATTGGTTGCCAAAAACTGGGCCTAGTCTAGACAGCTTCCCTATATCCAGTTATCTCGTGATCGGCTCGGAGTTATTCATTCCTATCGAAATCATTCACTTCTGCTACTCCGGTCAGTTCATACGCGAGCACGAAAGTGCGATGTGAAACTCTCGTGCTTACGAACAGAACGCCAGCTTGTATAGTCCGTTGCAGACTCTATAGTGTTAAAAATTAGCATTTTTCTATTGTTGATTCGACGCGGACACTGAGTTGTCAAGTGACGTTCCCATGGCTTGATCAAGTTTCACTCGAAAAGTTCGGATGTGCTTCGTATTGTTTGATAACGGACTAGTTCGGCTTACTGAAAACCAAATCGTAGACCTAGGTTCTAAGAATTGATGTGAAGAGTCGCACCCAATCCTAATTTGTTAATCAGAGATATGGCAAATTTGCTTGCTACTAAGGTCGGATGATAATGATACGACCGCACGATCTAGTGGTCTATGTTTGAAATCAAAATTTCTATGACTGCATAGTTTCGATCAAATAGCGAGCAGACTTTCTGACCCCGATTGCCGTTTTTTGTATAGTTTTGCATGGCATTACGTTGCAAACGATTGACTCGTCTCTTGTCACGTTATTTTCTCTCTCTCCGTGCGTACGTAGTGATGACCATACAGTGTATAGACCTATCTATCCATCTTAATGAGTGTCAACTATGATACACGTGTGACGAATACTCGCTAAATCGATTGTGCCTTTCCCGTTCAGTTGATGCATCTAATTAACCTGATCCCATTTTCCATGTGCGGGGTCTTTTTAACCCACTGATAGGTTATGTTCACTTTTCAAGTACACACCATAGTGTAATGAATAGTTCACAGAATAAACCCTATGGTCACACGGACCTACTATTCAATTTTGCTAGGAGACACCTTAAGTTATTGGACCTGGAGTGACGAGCCACACAAAGCCCCATATGACGTTGAACCGGAAGAAAGCGAAACTTTCTACCAATAAAGTTGTCTGGCGGTGGTCGCACTTAAACCCTGTAACAAGAGAGCACGCCCGTCGCAATGACGTAACCCGCTTAAATAATTCTAGATCTGACTGGTCTATTCCCTTGGATGTTATATTGCTTCAAAGCTACACTACTGCTACTCCTGAAACTGTAGTATTTTATTATAATATGGTGGTGTTACAAATTTTGAACTTTGTTCTCTTTTTTGCACTCCAAAACGAATTGGTGTAATACTCGAGAGTGTCTTGCAGCCATGATGATCGTTACGATAATATGAAACTAAATGGTTTTCTCGATTTTCTAATTTCACCTGTGATTCGTACATTGCATTTCCTTTTCGATCAACTGCAATGTTATTATTGAATACATTCATTGATGCATATTCATATGCCATAAATGATTCACTATACCACCACTCACTCGAATACTAGTTTTTTGGAAGTTTAAGGAAACTGTTTTGATTTACTCACTGTCTTTTTATCCAAGATTCTTATGTTCTCCACGCTTTTAAAGATCACCGAAAGCATGCACTATGCTGGGCTGGAACATCCTCACCACGCGACAAGCTAGTTTCTAAACGTTTGATTTCTGTCTTATAGGTTCCGCGTTAAACTCCCTTCAGGGCATGACTGCCTTCCTAAGAAGTCGACCTCAATCTTTCTATTCTCTATCACAAGCTATCGAATGGAGGTGAGTTGGCGTTTCATTCCTCCTCTTCCTTGCGACTTATCACTATTGTTTTATATTGCATCGCATCTTACGCGCTTTTCAGCCTTGGTCAAACATTTCCTCGTATCGAATTTCTCACTTGAAAAGGTTAAGGAAAATTATAATCAAAATGAACATTGCCTACTTCGTAATTAAGGAGAATGAAAAAATTGTTTTTGTTACTTTATTTATCGATTATAGAATTGTACACTTAACTTTCGGGAAGAAAGCCACCACCGTGCAAACACCACTTAGAGAAATGCAAAAAGATAGAAAATGGGCGGCGATGGTGGGATTCGAACTCAAAACATCCAGGTCTCTATTTTGATGAGGTTACCCACTCCAGCATCACTGCCGCTAAAAAATGGGTACTTCAGATCAGAACAATGGAAATAGACAAAAGCACAGTATTGCACCTTGTGGAGCACCAACGGAAAATAAGACATCTTTCCCACGGAAGATCTTACCGAAGGTTTTCCCTATATTTCCACTCAGTTTTAATTACAACTTGGTTCTCAATGTACACTGACACTGCCTTTTTGCCAATGGCGTCATAGGTAATGACTCAAACATCGGCCTTTGGCATACAGTCCGACCTGACCATCGTGAGTCTGATTTTGTGCTAGATAATATCCACTAACTTTTAGCTCAGCGATATAGCTTTTCAAAAACACTCTTTCTGTCGGCTGCTGTCGGTAGTAGTGTATGTATGAATGACTCCTGATTTACGTTCGACATGTTGGCATTCACTTAATTCCCATAGACCTTCACGCTTGGCCAGATAGCGACACTCAGACTCACTCACTCATCAGACAGACACGTGGAATTACATTAAGCCGCAGTGTTGGGATACTTGGTGCGAGCCTCTAGATTATCGACACGTTAAAAAAAGATACGGAGTTAGTTACCAGCGATTAGAGGTTGAGTGAATCTTTCACTTACAGCAGTCACAACTGGTAAAATAAGGAGTAGACCAGAGCTTTCTCGTGTAATCGAAAAATCGTATTGAGGAATTCGGAGAATATGTGGGTCGAAATTAGTGAAATCGCCTCCATTCCCGACGGACGATTACGTGCGTTGCGGGACAAAAATGAAACTTTTGTGCCTATCACACGTGTTGACTTTGCAGTTACTGGGTCCCTCTTAGCCAGATTAAATATGTTGGACACTTCCAACATCCAAACTTTGAATAGGACAATATATCCTAGTGGCATTTTCTATCTTATTCTTCATGAGAACTCATTTCACATTTACTTCATCTCACCCAATAATAACAGATCGCTTTTAGACTACCTTTTGAAAGATGCTGAATGAACCCGGAATCTGTGTGACCCTAGACAAGTCGCTTTTTAGTGCTACTCTCCTATTATTTCAGTATATTTGTGATGTATATAGAACCTATTTAATGCACTCACTAGAACCGTCATATTTCCGCGGCTGATTGATGAATGCTTATCGTGTGCTTTAAGCCGCTTCTAGTGCCATACTCCTGCTTCATAAGGTCCGATGTTCCAAACCCATCACTTGGTGGTAGGCAGCTCTGCTGTCGTCCGGTTCAATACCACACCCAACCTATCGGGGCCTTATGTGGTTTACCACTCCAAGTCCCGGGGCTTAGGTTACCGGTTTCCATCACTAAACAGCAGGTCCTCGTGATTATGGGGTTCCACCTCGTCTGCTGTTCATCACACGAAAGTGTGTAATAANCGTCACTGGGCCCAAAACTTCCACATTGCAACATCCTAATCCCCCCATGAACCGACTTTTTTTTATCCCCGCCTCACGGCAATACCCTAACCCCAATTGTACTTAGTGCAGTCACAAATTTGAAAATGAGCAAATTGTAATTTATCCCATCGTAACATACCATTTAGACACGATATTCGGTTTACGAGATCTATTCGGTATGCTGTATCCACAAAATACGGTCCATTCGCATAACTAGGACGCTGTAGTAAACAACCGGAATGTGGCAGACTTTTATTTCATTCAGTTCCACGCATTTCGGATCATCTTTGACCACTTTTGCATCGCACGGAACCGTGACAAACGGCACGGAGCATATCACCATCCGCAGCGGTCCATACGCAATCGCGCATGCATCAGTGTGCCCACCCCCAAGTACAGAATGTATGAAAACGACGACAGTTTTCGATTGAGTAAAATCATGGATATACAAATCTATTGTGGCCAGTCATCTGTGTGGCTGTTCTGGGTTNTTCTGGGTTAACTCGTAGTCGTGATTATAATGACATGCAGAGGTCATGACCGGATCACGTCAATACTTCTAAACATGTGTGAATGAGTGAGTGAGTGACTGCGAAAGCTTCGACCAGGTTTAGTGGTAACTACTTCTTCACCGGTTTGCTTATCCGACGAGAAATGTGTTTAGTGAGCCGATGCAAACATCTTTCATGTATGATGCATTACAATATCTAGATGTTTTGGTCAAACTTTCCCTTAATCTGTCATTGCGGAAAACAGGGCTCCCTCTGCATGGACTATTACCCCAGAAAAACCACTATAAATGACATTTTTGAATGTTAAACCTGACTATGTCCGATGAAATTCTGTGCAGGGTTTTACTCAATACAAAAACATTGCTTTAACCTGCTGCTTCCACCATACAAAATGAATATGGTTACTTGTAGTGCTTTCTCATTTCACCCTCTTTAGTTTTTCTAATAATACTCTATATATACTTGGCGTAGGGCATCCTAAGGAGTAGCTTCTCATTTTCTGTAAGCGCAATCCCTGACTGTTTGGGGTTGCTAAGACCGTAGAAAGTGGAAACTAGGACAAATGTAAGTGGATGATTGTGCAAAGCTCATGTTAGTTTTCAGAATAGTCAGTGTTTTGGGTCATTGTACTATTCAGTTGTCCAACCCAAAATAGGAGATTGACTTGATGAACCCTATCCCATCTTTTATTCGAACCTGTGAATGTTTATCAAGTAATCATTAGGCCATTTCATACACTTCGCCGTGAACAACTCAGAATCAAGGATCTCCAGCTTCTCAAAACTAGCTCATCGACCTTCTTTCAACCTTGGAGATTTACTTTTACCTCTCGTACATTGGCGAAAACAAAATGGTATCAAGTGAGACATCTTCGCCAAGCATTGATATCTCCATTAATCTGGAAGATTGATTTGAACTGACTATCCTTCGAACTTCACCTTCGCACACAATCCTCAGTTCATCGATTCAGTCATACATTCGGAAGCACTACACTCGGGATGGTAACATCTGCTTTAGGTAATATCCCATCCTGCACATGTTAGGGCGTTTGCAGGCATTACCTGTTGCAATTTCCCAATGTTCCATTCTAGCCTTGTAACACTAAATTCGGTTGATGTTGTTCATTCGGATCTCGCCAGAAGGTAGTAATTAGTCAGCATGCGATCATATCAGTTTCGGTGAGTGCAACCATTTATAAACCATCATATTCGGCTTGGTCTGTTCACACAGTCAAACGAAAAATCGATTTTTCAATTGGAATTATCACAAATTGTCCCAATGATGATTTTCCGGTGCCAACGCATCTCCATCTATATCGATTCACTGTCACTTAGTTCCGATCTGATTTTAAATATTTAAATATAAGCAAGCAAGGAGGTGCGATTAATTGAAACTCCATTTTGGTTGTCTGGCTTCACGAACCATAGTTTTTCTCCATCATTGGCATCACAATTACTGGTCCTAGAAGTGCACCACATACCTTTTTAAACGACCAACTCTGGCCATAAATCCATGGTGTCAGTGGGTTTTCTGCCTCATAAAGTGGTATTTTCGGCAAATATCATCCAGTGATCTGATCGAATACTCGATAAGTACTTCTGACTCGGTTTTATCTAACGCCCTAATCATTCTAAATCTCACTGTATATGTATCTGGATATAATTCCTTTATATCTATCAGCATATTACCTGTCCTTTCTTCTATGTAATTCTCCTACCCCATAATCCCTATTTGGCGTCGGCCTACTGTAGTGTGCGCAGTTCGCAGCTACGGAATCTCCAATCAGCTCGTGTGTCTTTCCCCGGTCAGTTGAAACGCATCGAAACTGGCGAAACAGCGACTCGTGAACTGGAATCCGGCGTGGCCCTCATTTGCTCTCGTCCGTCATCTGACACAAATCCACCAATCGGCAAATCCAAGTCCAGAGACTTGCATCGACTTCCAGGAATGGCCGAAGACGAGGCTGCCGAGGACGAAGATGAAGAAGCCGCAAAAGAAGATACGAATCACGCATCAGCAGAGAATTCGCATTCTTCACATCCAAACGAGTCGTCACAAACCCCGGCCAATGCAAGTATCTTTGTAGACTAAATTGTTTTTCCGTGTGATCAAAAGCATGCGGTATATTTTGATTATTTTCTGCTAGTTGTGCAAAAGTCTTCCGTTGTGTATCAGTCCAAAAAGCTGATAGTATAGTTATCGCCGCATACGGAGTTCCTTTTGCTTGATTTTTGACCATCACCAAACATGACGATATAAATACATCTTGACTCATTTTATACGTGTTCCTGTACGACTTGCATAATTTCTTTTCTATTTTATTGTTTACCACCCTGTGATAACGTCACCAAATTATCTACCCGG